CGCAGCTTCAGACACTGGTCATTTGCATATGAGTGAGGTCACCACAGAAGAGTGAGTGGAATTATAATTACTTTCCTTTCCCTTCACTCCTTCAGAGCACGTATGTTCATAAATGCACATGCACACACACACAGGGTCCGAAACGGGAGATGAGGGGTGATGATCAGGGAGCTGCAAAGGGAATACATCTCTCAAATAGATTCTGTCATGTCTTTCCCCACATCCTGAATAAATCCAGAGAGAGGACATGGGTTTTTCAAAGGAGGCCCCTCCACGATATGCACAGAAAATTACCCAAACTCCCCCAGGTCTCTCATTAGGAAAACAGCTCAGGGACACAACTTATCACTGGGAAGTGAGTTCCTCTCTATCATCTGCACTCATCTCAGTGGAGTAAATAGCTTCCTTTGGGAATTCATTAGTTTGCTTTCCCTTCCACCTGAAATCGTTTCCCTTTTCAGATCAGATTAAGAACAGGGAGAAGACCGGTCTAATGTTTTATTAAATCCGGCCCCTATGAATCTCCCCTGAACATTTTGATGTACCGAAGGTTTATCCATTTAATTTTCCTAAACTGCTCCTTTCTTCACACTTTTCTACTCTGTTTGAAACTATTACTCCTCACTGCCAACTCAAGGACGGCTATTCATCAAGGCCCAAGCTTTTCGCAAGGCTGATGTCCAACCCTGGTATCAATGGCTCCTCTGTGTATCCAAAGGAAGTGCTCTCTTTCTCCTTTCTTTTTCAAGAGAGCTCTGACATAAGCCCAAGCTTTTCCAACATGTTACCAGCCCCGCTCAAGCTGTTGTCTGCATAAACAGGCAGTTTTTCAAAGATCCCGAGCGGGACGGACCACCAGAGGGGTTTCAGTACTGTCCAGTCTAATGACATCACCGTTTGTTCTGAGAGTCCCCATCTTTTCTTTGACCATGCTTATTATCTGGATACCAAGTCAACAAAAATCAGCAGAAACTTGACAACATGTAAAAGAGTGAAGATAGACAAGTGAGTATAAACATACAAAACTGTCCAAACTTCTTCTCTACACCGACACAATGCCGTACAAACCTTTCCTCCACAGCAGTTCTTCTGGCTGTCCTTGCATTGCAGCATTACTGTGACCTGAAATTCTTTGAGTTGCTGCTGGGCAGTTCTTCCTCCTTTATCTCTGCAGGTCCTACTCTATTCGTTATTCACTTCACTGACCACCCTCTGAATTAAATATTCAGGCTTTCATCACTGTTTTTTTTTTTTACATAACAAGCTGTCTTTAAAGGCATCCAGAGGCACAGATTCTAAATTAAGCTCTGTTTTTCAGAGTTTGAGTGAGTGTGTGTGTGTGTGTCTCTATATGTGCTTTTGTGATTTGATGTAAATATATGTGATTATGTATTTGTGTGTGATTCTTTCACTACAAATCAGGATGTACTGTGGTGATGCCCCGGTGGACCAACCAGTCCTTTGTTCCTTATTGTGTATGCCTTCATGATCCAGTTCTTCTGTGTTAGGGGGGCACTCATCTTCTTACACAGAAAAAAGGAAAGGATTCTTGGTTGTTTAAAAAAAAGAAAGAAAGTCATCTGCACATGAGCAAATGCACAATGAATTAGTCGTCTTCACTATGAGATTAGATTGACAAAGACGGCTTTGCAACTTTCCCACATACTCCTGCTGTTTTGATGTGAAGTTGGACTTTTTTACAGGCAAATGGCAGATTCTCCCACTGGTTTTTCTGTCAAATGTTTGACTTAAAGTGTCTGATCCAAATAGGAACGTATGTCATTGTGTTTAGAAGGATCTACTCAGCTCATCTAAATATCCAGCCAGTTAAATAAACCCAAACGATATGAGTTCATATACCTTGAATAATTGTATTCTATTGGCTGACTGATGCATTGTGGTTGTTGTTGTCCAACCAAGAGCAATATAGCATGGCAAAAATAGCAGATTCATGTCATGTTGAGTTTAAATTCTGTGTTTCCGTTATTGCCAATGTTTAGAAATGACAGGTGTTTTTTGTTAAATGATGAAAACAAATGAAAATGTACGGATTTTAAAAATCAAATGCAAAACATGCAGTTCAGTTCAAATAGGAAAAGTAATGGCATAAAAAAAAAATGTTGACTTGAACCCAGCAGACGCGATCAGTGTCTGTGTGTTTGAGCAGACTGGTTATGTGTGCAGTTTGTCTTCCACCTCACACCTCCAGCAAGGACAAGCTTAAGAGCTCTAAAGAGAACATAGCAAAGGGATGAATGGACCTTTCTCAAATCGGATAAGTACATTTTTTAAAATGTGAAGAAAGCATTGAGGATAATCGCTTTGTGTGCAAAAAAAATTCAGTTGCCTTTAAATCTGACTTTATCTATAAACATTTTCATTTTCTGCATGAAAAAAACGAAAAACACCCGAAAAGGTAAACATTAATGCAAACTGGACTGTTTCCAGCACTTGAATTACTCAGAAGTTAAGCTTTATTTATTATTATTTATTCAGTTTAGTCCTTTCTGTGTAGCTATGACTGATAGTGTTCCTTTCACCTGCTGCACTTTATTCTAATGCACTATAAACCTATAACCACATATTATCTTGCATGTTTCCATAGATATTGTAAAAAACTTGGCATATATTTCAATTCTTTTTCCAGTTGTGTATTTTTGCTGGCTGAAACTTGTTTTTTTATGGTCATCAGCAGGGCAACCCATCCATCCACTTACTGTCCATTCCTTATAGTCCACACAATTGTTGGAAGTTTGATTGTTTTGATCATTTACATTCTAAAGTGGGAACTATGATAAATTAGGGCTAAATTAATAGACTTGTGATAAATGAGTGCACTTAACATCACCACCGGGTTTTTGTTGTATGTTATATGTCTCCATATTTAGTTTGCGACTTTCTATTCTATATTCAATAACTGTATTATATTGCCCATCATAGACTAATAAAACTGAATTTTACATTTCCTAACTTTGGGCTTTAGAACAACACCATTCTTTAGATGATTGTTTTCAAGAGCACAAACCTTTTTAAGTTAGTTTTCTTTGTGTCTTAGCATTGAGTATTTGGAAACTTTAAGATTATGGATGTTAAGCCAGTTCAGGATTCATATGTCAAAATATTGTCATATCATCTGAACGCACACAGAAAGCTGCTGATGTGATTGGATTATTTGCTTGCTGACATTGTTAATGCATTCATGAATGCTTACATTTTGGAATGCATTAGTCTGACTCATTTCTGTTTTGCTTGTTTGCATTTGAGATTGTGTGGTGGTGCGATGCCTTGTGTTTATTAAGTTTGCAACCTCACAGCTAATCAAATGGCTAAAACTGTGCTAGTTTTTTTAAGGGAAAACTTGGAAGAGACACAAGCGAATCTCAGGGGACGAGTTTCTGTGTTTCCCCCTCAAACTCAAGCGCAAAGTGATGACTTAAGCTCCACTGAAGATTCATGGAAATCTGGGGGGTTTCCATTAGATGTGCTGCTTGGTCTGTCTGCTTTTCACTGTGCTCAACAGAACATGTTCTGAAACAATGAGCGGTTTAAAAAATGATAAAAACCCTTGTGCACAGAACTCAAAACCTTTTTGTAAACATAAACCATTTTGTTTTTGTGTGTATTTTCTCTGTGGGTATGCCTTCACCTTTAGCTCTCAGTTAGTTTAGCACTGAACTGACACTTATTTTCAATCTGTTGTAAAGGGAAACTAAAAATACTAATACTCATTCTTATGCTACTATATGATATATAAAATGAACAGAGCACAGCTTTGTACGTTTTTTTTAAACAAATGCAGTCTTGTGTGACGTGATGGAATTAGGCTGTGTGATAAAACATGCAGAGCGTATTGCTCAGAGGCACAGGGCAGGATCTGACCAGTAGCAGCTTCTGGCGGGGCGTGATGACCTTTTGTCTCCCGGCGGTCAGGTACGGAGATGGGGGGCGGAGACATAGAGGCAGCAGCTTCATATCGGGACTGGTCCTGACGTCCCGGATAACAAATGGCTGGGAGCCGGCGGAGCGAAAGAGTGTGATCTGTGTGTGTGTGTGTGTGTGTGTGTTTTTTTTTTCCTCAGAGCGACAACAGCCAGAGCCGCCTCCATGCTCACATAGCGGGCGAGGAAAGTGGACAAGAGGCGCCCTTTCTGCTCACTCCCAGTGAGCTGTATTTTATCCGTCTGGCAGGAGGATGAGAGAGAACTGTTGACACCACGGAGAGAAACACGCTGAAACCGACTATGGCTGTGGACGGTAGGAGCGCTCACTTCTCTTTGCACAAAGCATCTCACAGCTGCCTCTGAATCAGAGACTTTAGAACGACTGAAACATTTTGGATTTGATTGAAAAAAGAAAAACTGTTGTAAAAAAACAGTTCGTGGAAGTTGACTGGCGGATCTGTGTTACGCTCACAAAGTTACTTAGACGATATCAAACGGGGAGTCGAGAATGAATGGATGCGCTCGTTGGTGGATTATTTTTGATTCAATTCAGTCTTAATCTTGTAAGTGACTCGAAATTTGGAGCTTGTAAATCAACGTGTTTTGATTCCTGTTGAAACATTATTTGGAATTGTTTGAATAGATTGAATAGATTTTTATGAATGTCTAACACATCCTAATTAATGTGTCACAATATCAACCAATCCTCAGCTCACAAATGAAAAAAATGGTGGGATAGTCTTTAGTCAGACGCTCTGTTCATTATTCATTTATCATTACTATAATTATTTGAGGACAAAAGTTAATAACGTGAGAAATGCATACGCTCTTTACTTGAGATGAAATTATAAAGATTCTTTTCATGAAAAAAGGAGCCATCACTGTCTTCAGCACAGAAAAGACACAAAAAGCAAACAAAAGAAGTTTGTTTTTGTCATGTGGGTAACAATCTTTATTTTCTGTTTTGCTTGTAGAGGTCAGAAGAAAGTGCTGTAAAAGTAGATTGTCAAGCTTAAAAAAAGGTTTTTATATAAAGCCTATTTATTCCTCAAAAACATGCTGGAATAAATCAGAAATATTTGAGACTCTTTTGTTCACATGCACCCTAAACTTGATACTCATGTCTCTCCACCCTACTCTATTGTGAGTTCATGCCCCTCCGATAGTTTTTATGTCCTACACATGGCTGATTGTTTTTCTATAGGCTACAAACTTAAATGAAGCCTAATCAGAGCCTCTTGTCTGCTCAAGGACAATAATGTATGTTAGAGCTTCACTGCTGTGCCAGGCATTTTCCCCTAACTGTCCTCTGTCAGCGGATCCAGGTTAGCGCTTCATTTTATTTGACACAGGTAAGAAGCACAATCAGATATGTGGATGTGGCAGGCATTGCAAATTATTAAATCACAACTTACTTAAGTAGCATTGATTTATTGAGAGCACTGCAAGATACTAAAAGACCGTGGTTCTTGAATAACATAACCTGTGACACGGAGAAATGCAGAAAATCTACCAGCAGTCATCATGAATGTTAGGCAACACGCACTAAATTTGATTGCTATTATCCTCTCCCTCTCTGGAGGCATGTGTCTGACTGCATTAAAAACAAAAACAAAAAGATTGTATTACAAAGGTTTTCAAGCTGCATTCAGATTAAAAGGGCCATCTGCTACCACTGGGTCTCAAAGTTGATGCTGTCCATGTTGATTTTTTTTCTCTTGTGCGTTTTTTTTCTGAATTTCATTTATGAGACTTGCTTGAGAGTTTTTTTTTACAGATTCGGTAATATCAATGTTACATGAGGCTGTCATTTATAATTTATTGTTTTGATTTGAATGTCACTCTGGCCACTGTGGTAGGATGAGAGTATTCCATGTGTTTCGGGAAAAAGTCTCTTATCCCCGGTTGGTTTCACAGATCTACTGAAGATGAGGGCAATGATTGATGTGGTCATTTTATATATGTGTGACATGGGAAACATCTGCTACTGTGAAGGCGTTTGGAGAAATATTGGTTCTTCACAAGTGTTGTGACGCCCACATAAAAAATATGTTTTTTCTCTGAGCTTTCAAATCACACGCAGCTTTTGAGAATCAGCTGAGTGATGCTTCACCTGGCATTTGAAGCCCCTTGGTCTGCAATGACGCTCACCTTTATCCAGCTCTGTGACATCTCCACTACTTCCATCAAGAGGAGCTTTGCTTTCAGTTAACTGCACAAACTCACTTTTGTAACCCAGGCTGAGTACCTAACCTTGTAACATTACGCCAAACTCTAACAAAGCACTGAATAAAAACAAAAGTAACAATAGTTTTGACACTCACAAAATATTGGTTGAAAAGAATACAACAGCTAGTCTAGTTTCATAAAGTTTGCATCAATATCAGATTTTTTCAGCTCACAGTGTTATTGTGAGTCAGCGTGACAACTACAGGCGCGTGTTCCTGTAACAAGGTGTGAGGTGTATTTAAAGGTTATAATAGATATGTATGTCTCTTCTTTATGTGAATTACTGTGAGAATTATTGGTATTATTGTCATTGTTGTTTTTGTTGTTTTTTGCTTTGCTGCCTGCAGCACTGCAATACACGCTAGATAATTATGTACTCTTCCATGTTTGGCAATTCCAAGGGGGTAAATTTCATCAGACGTTGGCTGAAATTGTTCGGGACATCTGGCGGCATTGTCACAACTTTGATAAGCGGCTACACAAATGACGCAGTCGGACCAATGCGCCGCCTAACAGCAGGGACTTTTGTCAGAGAGCACTGTTCATCATCTCTTAACATTAGGAATGTTCACAGGAGCAACCCAGTGTGTGTGTGTGCACTCCAAGAGGCCGAGAAGTTTCTGAGCTCCACAGGATATCCAAAGATCCCGCGCCAGTGTAGAAAATCCCAGGGCGGCCTCCATCCATCCGTTCAATGCCGGAGATGTGAACACACATTCATGCATATCAACAAAAAAAGGCAACAAGTCATGCACACCATCAACCTGACAGGCCCACATGGAGACAAGAACACAGCTGGATCTGAATCTCAACACAACTCACTTTTTTTATCTCAACCCCCATGGCTGCGGGCATGTTGATATACAGTCTTGTTGATATACAGAGAGGGCTGATAGTGACCATTTATTACTTTTTCTGATTGACGTGCACATGGGATGAAGGCTCCAAGTTTAAAAAGTTGTGCATGCTTTGGATCTGTCTTACCGACTGGAGATCATTTCAGTGTATTACTTGAAGAACACTGAAACAAAAATAACGATAGTTTCTATGTTTATTTTCAGATTTTTTTTTTTAATAGATGCTTCTGATACCTTAAATATGCATTTGGTTGAAGAATAGACCTGATCATATTTAACACCACAGCACAGAAACACCCATTATCTTTTGTGATCAGGTCACATGGTCGCTCAGCTGTGAAATAATACAGGGAGGGGCTCCGACAATATTTCAGATTTTGTTTAGAAAGCGAGTGTGTTAATGGGTTTTAGCCAATGTGGATGTTTAGGATAGTGTGAGAGCATTCATAGGAAGCCGAGGGGGTGCCAGTATCCTAGTGTAAGGCAAGTGTGGGGGAGGAGTGTTTGCTTTAAACAGACAAACACACTCTTTGTTGTTTTTCCTGGCATGCGTTACATCATCTGTTAAGAACATCGTCCATTTGGTGCATTTGGTGTTGAGGCCAAATGTGTTCTGGGTTTGTTTAGTTAAGTGATGTGGTAACAGTGCGCCAGGCCTCTCTGTTACAGAGCCACAGTGGGGTTATACAGCGATTTTATACGTGTACTCATGTCAGGCATGCAAGCTGCTAATCTTTTCCCCCCGTCCATTATCATCCCCTGCTTCCTTGCAGCGCGAGCGTGTCAGTATAATGCAAGGAGAATCCTCGACACAACCACACACAAACACACACACACACATATATAAGCACTCCCATCATCCATCATCAACTGCCTGATCCACCATTGCCCTGCTGCTGCACCTGACCCAAGCCTGTGGATTTTAGACCCCCAGAGAATTAAATAAAGACAAAGTGGACAGAGAGGGATGTGTTGGTGAAATGATAACTGGAACAATCTGAATGCTATCATGCTGTCTGAAAAAGTGTAAAACGTCCTAAGAGCTTTCACAGTTTTGAAAGTATTTCTTTCAGGCTTGATTAAAGCCTACATACCAAATTAACTGCTAAATTATGAAAAGTGTGAATGATTATGGGCCACTTTTACACACGTCCTCATTAGGTCAATTTGGATAAAGCAGTCAAGCTCAAAATGAGCGTCCCTGATATGTTGAAAGAATCCTTTTATTAAAGGGAAACATTAGAAATGTCATGAGAAAAAAAGGTTAGTCCACACAAAAAAATGTACATAACATGTTAGTCTAACCAAAATTGTAAAGAATATATCTAAAGAATTAGGAGTTAAATTACTCTTTTATGTCTTTCACTAAAAAGGAGTAGCTTAATTCCAATTATTATTGTTATTATTATTGTTGTTGTTGTTTTTATTTTATTTTTTGTAACTTTCTACAGCATCAGCCAATAGCTGAGCTCCCCTCACTGAATGTAGTCTGATCTACAGTTTTGCATCACAGTACTTTAAGCAGACGTTTTATCCAGAACTTCCCTAACAATTTGCAAGCGGCTTACTATATGGTTAGCACAACAGGGCAACAGTGAGTTCATCACCTCAGACTCCTAAACACACTTGGTTATGTAGGCTGAACATTATGGGGTTTGACCTAAAGCAAAACTATTGTTGCAGCTCAGCTTGGACATGTCAGTGGACCACTGTCCCAGTGTGTGTGCACAGAAGCAAAACCATGTTATTAGCAGAATAATCAATTGCCAGGGGGTTTCAGGGGACGCTGGAGCCTACATCAGCTGTCATTGGGCGAGAGGCAGGCTACACCCTGGTCAGTCCATCACAGGCATATGCATTAATGATTTTACTAAATTAGGTTAAATGATTTATTTCTACAACACGTGTGAAGCATTTTGGCAAAGCTTGCATTTTGTTTGGTCAGTAAAGTAAAGGTTTTTCACATTTCAGTCTGCTAAAAGACAGAATGAGAGACAAAAATCATCAACAGTGCATGGAAACAGGGTAAATCTCCGTCTTTTCATATGCCATCCAAATGTCTACCTAAATTAGCTACATTTTCTGCTTTACATACCGACTGATAAAGTGATTTAAAAAAAAATCTCATCAGGATATTTCAGCCGTAGATCGAGTGAAGTGGATTTTGTTCAAAGGTGACAGACTTCAGCTGTCTGATTCAGTCCATCTTGAGCCTTAGTTGATGCTA